ACAATTGATGTGTGTATGGATTGGGATAACAGTTGTATGAGCCCCTAATAAAATGTTAAAAAAAAGAAAAGAAAAAAAAAGTAACAGCAAAAAAAAAATATATATATATATATATATATTTCGATACAGATAAGTGTCCAATTTGCATATTTCTAATGATCTGCTTGTAATGTTTTGCCCTATTTTTTATCTCTATAAATTTAAAACTGGTTTTTTTTCTTGTAGGATCTTCCCAATAACATGATTTACCAAGTTGCCATTAAATCTCTTCCTCAAGATTGGCTGTGGTGTGAAACCTGGTGTGATGATGAGTCTAAGCAGAGAGCCAAGACGATTGATCTGGTGAGTACCTGTATGTTAGTTTATGTAATGGTCAGATAGTGAGTGTTCGAATAGAATTAGTCCTGTTTTACAAACACAGTTGCACACGTACTGTTTTGCTTTTCCTGCTGCTCAGTAGATTATCACAGATGTACGTACCTGGCACTGACATCGTCTCCAGTCAGCTTGCGAAGGGGAGGAGTCTAGCCTGTCAGTCAGGTCGCAGCGCGATGACCCCATTTGGAGGCACCACAGAGCTAATTAGCTCACTGAGGCCAGATACACACACACTCTCTGCTTCGTCTTCCTGCTGACAAGACACATGGAACTACACTTGAGCCCTGGAGTTGGAGGAGCCACGTGGAGACCCCTGCCCACACTGAGATGCTTCCACTGCCGCTGGATCCACAAGACTTTCCACCCACTGGCCTGTGATCTTCCTGCATTCGGCATCATTGCATGTGTTCCATGAGTCTGAAGAGGACTTTATAGATTGGTATCGGACAGATGGCCTAATAGCAGACTTAAGGACTTGATCTGGTCTGGGCTGGATATTTTCTTAATGTACATTTATTGTTTATATAAGCTCGCTCTTATATGAGTGTCTATGAATTTGTTTCTCTAGTCAGCCCAGACTAATACAACTTAGACTGGCAAATACAGGGCTACGTCAGGGGCTCACCCAGACTGACTCTGTCTGATGGTTCACTAGGGCTCATCGCACCCCACTTACCAGCATGCTCGTGGCTGTGCTTCATTACAGAGGAGTATGCATAGCAAAATGCACAAAGGGAAATGCTGCCGGAGGCAAAGTCCTGAGGAAACCAGGTACCTGCTTCTGGGAGTTCTCTCCCAGGAGAATCAAACAGGATGGGTTCAAGGGACAAGAAGTTAGTTCGTCATCACACACGTGGGGAAGTTCATCAGAGACCCAGTGTTTTGGCAGGGAACTGACCCACAGGAGGAAAGGATATGTCTAAGACGCACCGTCATGTTTTCATAAACAGTGCACAGTGAGCCTCCTTGGTCACTTTGCAAGCGGGCCTTGTAGGGAGAGCAGCCTCAGGCTTTCTGTTAGCTCGTTCCTACACAAAGGCTTCTGAAAAAAGGCTATCAACGGGCCGAAATGTTCATAAACTATCATCTTAATATATCATCAGTTTAGCTCTCCTAGTAATATTCTTTCCTAGGTAAATGCAACCAAGGTAATTCTGGGTCTTTTAAAAATAATCCTATATATGTCTTTTTAGCTTATCTTCATTTTAAGACAGTTTAACTCCCAAAGATATAAGTTTAGACTAATTTATTATTATCCATCTGTCCAGAGCTTATATTCCAATGTTATATTATCTTTGAAAGCTACAGGATATTATGGGATTTTTCCTAATCATTTTTAGATGCTATTTCAAATATAGAATAATTGGTTACAAGATCTCTGAAGGAAAAACCATTGAAATATGAAAATTCTCACAGTTTTGAACAAAATACAGCAGAACCATAAGAAGGGACATTGTTGCAGAAATAAGAGTAGTGCCAACATATTAGAATCTGATCGCAGAGAGAGCAGAAATTTTAAAGAGGAAAACATGGACTACAGCGCAAAAGACATTACCGTGGCTTTGAGGTGTAAAAACATGACCCAGTCAATTGGGGCGCTTTCATAGCTAGGTTAGCATTAGCAACTGTAACAACCCCCCAAATTCCAGTGGCTTAATACACAGCCAAGTATCAGACCAAGGTGGCTGTCCCCACCCCCACCCCCCAGTGAGTAGCTCCTGTGTGTGTTTTGAAGAAAGGATCCGTCCCTCCTACCTGTTGCTCCTTCACCGTCTGCTAGGACCCTGTCGTCATCTGCATTTAGCTGCTCGGTCCAGTAGCACTCATAGGTCATAGGTGGCATTTGAGCACTGAAAATGTAGGTTGTTGTGGTAGTTACATATTCTGGTGTCGATTTGAGGATTCAGAGTCAAGGTGCGGAGTCTAACCTGTCAGTCAGGTCATAGCCAATGAGGCCTCCGTGTGGGCATGGCCTTCTCCTGAGAAATCTGGGGACTCCTTTCTCTCGGCTTACTCCCTGCGAGACATCCCTGTTGAGAAGACACGTGGGACTATGCTAGTGCCCTGAGCTGGAGGAGCCGTGCAGAGACCCCTGCCAGCACTGAGATGCTTACACCGCCACTGGATCCACAAGACTTCCCACCCACTGGCCTGTGATCTTCCTGCATTTCGGCGTTATTTCGTGTGTTTTGTGACTTCAAAGGGGACTTTATGATTGGTATCGGACATATGGGCTAATATCATATTTATGTACTTGATCTAGACTGGGCTGGGATGTTTTCTCAACATTCAATTGCTCTTGTAAATGAAGTTCTTTCTTATACATATATGTGTGTCTATGAATTTGTTTCTCTAGTCTACCCAGACTAACACAGTAGTCTAAGTTGAAATGTGCTTTGAGCTATAAACTATACACCAGATATTGAAGACTTAGTACAATTAAAATAGCTCGATAATTTTATTTGATCACTTATTGAACAATAATAATATTTTAGATATATTAAATAGAATAAGGTGTTCATTTTTATTTTACATATGTCTTTTACATTTTGATATGTAAAAATTTTGAGATTACTAGAAATTTTGAGATTACTTTTATGGCTTACATATTATTTCTTTTGGATACCACTTACCTGAATGAATACAGAGGTGTGAGTGTGTAAGAGGAGTGTGTAGAATGTATACTGGTCATAAAAGTCTTGGCCCATTAGAGAGAAATAGTCAAGTTGTAAGAAGAACTGAGAAATATCCCCGGATGGCCAGGTACTTTCTAACAATAGCTCTATCCAGTAAAAACAACATGGCATAACTTTTAATGATCACCCTCCCTTTAAATACAAGAAAACTCGTAGCCAACTTCTTAGAGAAAAAGCAGAGGAGTTGTGTTAGTCTGAGTTGACTAGAGAAACAAATTCATAGACACTCATATATGTGTAAGAGAGAGCTTTCTATCAAAGGATAATTGTGTATTAAGCAAACAGCCCAGCCCAGTCCAGTTCAAGTCCAAAGGTCCGATATTAGCCCTTATGTCCGATACCAGTCTATAAATTCCTCTTCAGACTCATGCAACACATGCAATGACGCTGAATGCAGGAACATCACAGGCCAGTGGATGGAAAGTCTTGTGGATCCAGTGGTGATGTAAGCATCTCAGTACTGGCGTGAGTCTGCTTCCATCAGTGTAGCTCCGTGTGGCTTGTCAACAGAAATGTCTCAAAGGGAGAGTATGTTTCCCACCTCCAGGGAGGAAGACCAGAATTCCCAGAATCCTCAGAAGGTCATGCCCACACAGAGGCTAGACTCCACCCCTTTGCAAGTTGACAGGAGATTATGTAACTGCCACAGGAGTGAAGAAAAATGCCGAGAATATGGACTAAGAAAGAGAAAATATATATGGTTAATGGCATTGAAAGTGATGTCAGCTCTCCACCACAGCACTGTTGACACTTGGAGCCATATAATTCTTGGTTGTTAAGGGCTGTCTTATGTATAAGGGGCCCTAATGATGGCATATGATAAGCCCTCGACTGATAACTACTTGGTCTGGATTCAAAGTCCACTGCGACTTCACTGGTGAAAGATGAAGCAGTCTGCTCCCATAAAGATTACAGCCTCAGGAACCCTACAGAATGTCCCTCTGAGTCACAGTCTACTGAGGGCAGTGAGTTTGGTTTGGTATCCTGTGTGTTGTAAGATGTTGAGTAGCATCGTAGCACACCCACACACCTTCCATCTCAGTTATTTAAAAAAAACAAACCCCACTGTTGTCGAGCTGTTTTCTACTCGCAGCCAGAACCACCAGAATTATCTCCCAACCCACCCACTGTCATCAAGTTTATTCGACTCAGCCACCGTATGGAGGGCTGTGAAGGCAGTACATCTTTCTCCCTCAGGATGACTGGTTGGTTTGAAGTGCCAACCTTGTACTTAGCATCCCAACCTTACTCATCAGTGTCAACAGGGCTCCAGACCTTGACGACTCTAGGGAAGAACTGCTAATAGTTTGTAGCATACAGAATACTGCATCGCTTGAAGTTATAAAAGCAGCCATGTAGCAGAGAAGCAACAAGCCCACGTGGGTGAAGCACATCGTCCTGTGCAATCATGAGGTGTCGACAGATTCAAGTAACAGGCACCAGAAGACCCCAAACCCACAAAAGACCGTATTGTTGAGAACGAGGGCGGGTTGGAGCAGAGACCTGAACCCATATGCAGACAATAGGACATCCCCTCACAAGGAAGGGATGAGTCAACCAGGACACAGTATAGCATCGATGAAACACAACACTCCTCTGGTTCTTCGAGGCCTCCACACACACACACACCTCACAGTGTCACACACACACACACCTCACAGTCCTGCCTTTCAGTTCTGACTAGACTGGAGCATGCGCACTGGTATGAGCTCACAATACACGGGATCCAGGTCAGATAAACCCTGAGGAACAGAAATGGGAGTAGTGATACAGGGCGGGTAGGGGGGAGGTGGGGGGAGGCGGGGAGGAAGGGGAACTGATCGCAATGATCGATGCATAACCACCTCTCCCCAGGGGGACAAACAACAGAAACCGTGGGGGAAGGGAGATAGCAGTCGGTGTAAGATATGAAAATAATAATAATACGTAATTTATCAAGGGTCACGAGGTTGGGAAGGAGGAGGAAAAAGAGGAGCTGATACCAAGGGCGCAAGTAGACAGAAAATGTTTAGAAAATGATGGCAACATAGGTACAAATGTGTTTGATATAGCTGATGTGTGGATTATTATAAGAGTTTTAAGATCCCCCAATAAAATGATTTATTTCAAAAAGAAAAAGAGTGCATCACAAAAAACAAGAATTGTTTTTTGTTTTTTACTTTTTAAAGTTCCAGATACCATTGCAAAACAAAATGATTCTATTATCTTCAATTTGTAGACAGAAGCCTGCAAAGTTAATTTCTGCAAAGAACGTTTTGTTTTCCTATT